GATATGGTTCTGTTCCTCGAGGAGAGGAGTGATTTCCATAAAGAGCTGAGAGTGTTATAACGGACAATGCTGGTCTCCTCTGGAACCCTGCGTAGAGGTCAGAGAGCACTAGAAGGTGAGCCGAAAAGAAGGAATAAGGGCAGGCTGGTGGGCTGCAGTGTTGGCAGATGGGTGGGTGCTAAGCGAACAGGGTTTTCAGCAGAGGAGACAAAGTAGCTGAAAAAGCTCACAGGACAGAAAACTGAGGAAAATGGCTTTGAACTTAATCTAGAAGGTAGCGGGAACCCTCTGAAGGGTTTTAAGCAGGGAAGGGGCATAATCATCTTTGTGATTTAGAAAGATCACTGAGGTTGTAGGTGATGGAGAAGGCAGAGGGTCTCAACTTCATCAAGTCCTCCAGGGCTTGTTAAAGCACGGTTTCCCGGGCCCCACCTCCTGAGATTCTGATCAGACCATGTGTCCGCATTTGCAAGAAATTTGCAAGTGTTGTTGATGCTGCTGGCCCTGGAATCACACTCTGGAAACGGGCCCCACCTCCTGAGATTCTGATCAGACCATGTGTCTGCATTTGCAAGAAATTTGCAAGTGTTGTTGATGCTGCTGGCCCTGGAATCACACTCTGGAAACTCCTGGAAAAGATATTGCAGGAGGGCAGGGCGCTGGGTGAACTATGAGGCAGCTGTTTCAGGCGATGGATTGAACGAAGAGAATGAAGGAGAGGGAGGATTCTGGGTGGACGGCAAGAGGTGTGGCCAATAAGACAGGTCCGTATAAGGCTACATCCAATGGCCCTTTCCCTTCTCTGCTATGTTGTTCTAGTTGCCTTTGATATGCCGCTAATAGAAGGGCTTCCTCCCTGGCTTTGGTTACACCCTTTTCTCCTCTGATGGCATATTTGCCTTGGCTCTTTTTTTCATCATTTCCTGGGCTCCATCCTTGATTCCATTTTCTCTGGGGGGAGGAGAGGAGTGTCTTCAACAGCTCCCAGAGTTTGGACTCCCACCTGCTACATAGTAAGCATTCTAAAAGTGTTTGTGAAATAATTTAGAGTCTACTTGTCTGTTTTCTTCGTTCATAGGTGCCTCAGGCTGGTACCTTAACTATCTCATTTATCTTGGTATCTCTTCTCACCCCCAGCATACTACACAGTATGTGTATACAGCATACACACAACATACACACAGTATACACACATACACACAGCATACCTACAGTAGGTGCTCAATAAATATTTATGAACAAATGAATAATTCCTGCTTCCACTGGTTTGCCAGCACAGTGAATGCAGGCAAATTACTTAATCTCTCAAAATTCCAGTGTCCTCATTTGTAAAATGAGCATCACAGAATTTACCTCCTAAGAGCTGCTTTGGGGATAAAGAGAGAGAATGCATGTAAAGTGTTTAGCACATAGTAAACATTAACTACTCTTATTATTGTTTTATTGTTGGTGTGTACTTGTGTGACTTTGGGCCAGCTACTTAATCTGTCTAAACTTCAGTATTATCACATTCAACAATTGTTCTCCAACTGGGTTGTTGCAGGGGGTCCAGTGAGATGGAGGGTCTGGCAGATAGTAGGTATGTAATAAAGGTTAATTCTCTCTCCCCAAGCTCTCCCTTTCCCCACCACTTTAGAACTCTGATTGCACTGGAGTGTTTTATCCCCTAATGGGCTGAAGGGTGACAATGGGAAGAAAGTGTTGGGGACTGTCACTGAGCTCCCAGGCATTGTTTAAAAACAAAAAACATTCCTTTCAACCTCAGAAGATCTACATCCCATTAGCACTTGGTCCCCTCCACTCTGTCTTCCTAAAGAACTGATATTGAATGAAATAAAATTAAAAACAAAATCAACTGAGAGTCACTTAGAGTCCCATCAAACCAGTTTGGCATATTATATAAGAAATTTACAAAAAAAAGAAAAAAAAGGAGAAGAAGAAGAAAAAAAGAAACCAGTTTGGCAAACCCAGCATTCCTAGGTGTTTTCTCTAAATTAGTCTAAGTTTTCCCCTGAAGGGGCTAGAATAAAGATGGGAAGAGTTATTGCTAAGGCTTAGGTGGTGGGTGGTAGAGTTCTTTTAGTTTTACTTTTCAAAATGAATCCCTGTTCTCATCCTGTTGGTTCTGTTTCTACCCTGCTTCTTCTTTGAGATAGTCCTATAATAGCCCACAACATTAAAGAAGGAGCCTAGTACATTTATAGATAGGGATACCCTTCAGCATGTTCTAGCCTAAGGATTATTTATTATTGGGAAGCAATGTTTCAGAGACCTTTAGTGTGTATAATAAAAAAATAACTATTGGCTGTGCCAATCATAGGTTATTGCAAACTAAGCACAGAAATCCCTTAATGCAATGTTTTTGTCCTCTCTTCCAAGCATTGTGCCAGACTTTGTCTTAAAAACCAGCAGAGAACTCTACTTACATGTCCAGGCTGTGATAGTCTGAGTAGGAGGCTGGGATTGTGAAAACTTTCTTTTAAAATTGGATTGTTTTTGGGCCGGCCTGGTGGCGCACTGCTACAGTGCGCCGCTTGGGAGTGCAGCGGCGCTCCCGCCGAGGGTTCGGATCCCACATACAGACCGGTTCCCGCTCACTGGCTGAGCGAGGTGCGGGTGCAGCACCGAGGGTTGCGATCCCATTGCCAGTCCTGGTCCGGTACGGGTGCGACACTGAGGGTTGCAATCCGTTGCCGGACACTAAAAAAAGACAAAAAGGAAAAAATAAATTGTGGTCCGGTACGGGCGTGACACTGAGGGTTGCAATCCGTTGCCGGACACTAAAAAAAGACAAAAAGGAAAAAATAAATAAATAATATTGGATTGTTTTTATAATGTTGATTTCCTTTGTTGCTTCCCAATGGCAGCATAAAATAACACTTCCTTCCTCTTTATATATTCCATCCCTAAATGAAACCATCCTAGGAATCCCCTGGTGAAGTCATTAATTCCTGAAATTTGGAATGGGGAGTTGTTTTCCTAGGAAGGAACACTCTCTTCTAATCTTTGGGCTTGCCCAGGCTTAGTGATTCAAACCGACACCTTCCCGGTTCCCAAGTGAGTCATTCCAGGGCTGCACTCCAGCCCTGGGCCACAAAGGGGCGAAGAGTGAACTGGTTAAGAGCACCCCCACTTTTGTAACACTTTGAAGTACTCAATTTCTGTGGATTGTGCCTCCCTTTGAATTTGGGATATAGGGCTTGACAGTTCGAAGGTATGAGGGTGGGACATGGGACCCAAAAGAAGGATCAAGAAAAAGACATTAAGGGCTTGAATAGATTATTCTAAAGGACAGAGACAGACAGTATTTATTGACTTACAGGTGGTGGTGGATTAAAATCCCAAAGAAAGCATAGGGAGCCAAAGACCTACTCTGAGACTGAGACAATGAGGTAATAGCCACAGTAACTTCCACTTACCTATGTAGTCAGCGTTCTAGTTTCTGGTCTGTAAAATGGGTTTTCAGAGGCTTATGCTTAATACATTTATCCAAAAATGCCTTTCATGGACTTAGGGAGCCAAAGACCTACTCTGAGACTGAGACAATGAGGTAATAGCCACAGTAACTTCCACTTACCTATGTAGTCAGCGTTCTAGTTTCTGGTCGGTAAAATGGGTTTTCAGAGGCTTATGCTTAATACATTTATCCAAAAATGCCTTTCATGGACTAATGATGAGCATGTGTCATGAGTGTGTGGAAGAGATTGGAAGGAGAGGTTTGTAGTTTCTAAAATAATGACTCACATGACAAAGACTAAGCGTGTTTTACTTCATGATCTGAACAGTAGCATTTCCAAACTGGCTTCTTGCCAGGAGCAACCAGTGAATCTGATTTTGCAAATGGCTAGGTAGGAGTGAAGGAGCCGTGGATTTCTCAATGTGAAAGGAAAAATTAAACAATGAATAACAAAATAAAAAACAAAACAAAATAAACAAAAAAGGGGAACTGGTGTCTGAATGGGCCTATATGTTGAAACTTAAAGTACATCACCCACTGGACTGTGACTCCTCTTCTCATGAGCGGCAGGCTTGTTCCTACTGGCATGTTGGGGAAGCCATTGAGGGCAGGGTAAGATTCAACAGCCTGGGATGGAATCCCAGCTCTATTCTTTCTTTATCAGTGGAACTTGGGTGCATAGACGAGTTTCTCTGTGCCTATTTCCCACTCTGTGATATAGGGAAATTAACAGTACCTCCTTCATGGGGTTGCTGTGGAGTCACAAGTAAAACACTTGGAAGAGTGCCCAGCGTGTAAATAAAGTTTAGTATTGTTGTTACTTGAGTCAGTTTACTGGGCCCCAAACCAAAAGCATTCTTGACCTCAGCAACTTAGACGCAAGATGAGCTAAGGCATGTAGTGCAGGGTTGTGTTTAACGAACATGGGATCTGGATTCTGCTTTTTGGTATCTGTATGGGTACAGATATGTTACATAACCCTTCTGAGGTTTTATATTTCCTTGCTTGTAAAGTAGGGTTAATAGTAACATTACTCCCAGAGCTCCTCTGTGGCTTATGAGATAACCCCCGAAAAGGGGCTGGCACCTGATGGGTCCCGTCCCTTCCCTTAATTCTTCCACTGGGCAGAGTCCCTGGGCTTGACTGGAGCAGGGAATGGCATGGGTTAACTAAACTGAAAGGCGTTCCTTCTTCAAGCTCCTCTCAACCCCCAGGCCTATCCCTCTTTGTATACTTAACTGTTATCTCTAACCTTTTGCCTCTCCTTTCCCTACCTCCAACCTTCTAGCCAGCCTTCTGCCCTTTCCTTCTTTTAACTATCAACTCTGGCTCTTATCACAATCTCCAGGAAGCATCTTATAACCCTGAGAACTTAAAGACCTTAAACCCCCCAGAGACCCATTTTAACAAAGAAAACCCCTTGCCTTTCTTAAAATAACTTTTTTCTCATCCTTGTACGCTCACCCTTAATGGTCAAACTCTGTGATTGATGAAAAAGAAATGTTGGGGGTTTGGAGAAGTAAAGAAACAAAACACTCACAACTTAAGATTTGGCTTAATTATATATTCGCCATGTATTTTATTTTTTCTAAAAACAATAGAAAATCAACTTTAAAAAGGAAAATGTACTTAAATAAAAAAAATTATGCATTATAATACATTGTTTGCAATCTCGTATAACTGGTATAAATGTCTTATTAAAGTTATTTACATTTAATGTCCATATTTACACAAGACTATTGTTAAACTTTAAGATTTTTAAAAACAATTCTTAAATACAAATCTGTTAAAGGAAAACAAAACAAAACAAAACAAAACATGGCGGGCATAAAAAAAGTTCTTTTATGCCCAATGTCCTATTTGAGGCAGTTTACATTATGGCTAAATCTTTCAGTCCCAAGATCCAGCCAAGGTTGTGAGGTTGCATTTCATCATGCATCTGAATGAAGTTCATAGGTAATGAATTGCTGCAGTTCTGTGGAAGGAACTCTTTTCCTTACTTGCCTTTGTAACAAGTGAGAATATGAGAATTCACCAGCGATTCCAGTTCCTCCCTCCAAAAGGTCAATTTAGGCACAAGAGTTCCGCAGCTGTTCAAGTTTGTGTTTCAACTGTTCTCGCCGCTTCCGCAACAAGTCCTTTTCTGAAATAAGTTTTTGCTCCTCTGCTTGGACAGACAGGATGTATGCTGTGGCTTTTTTAAGGATAACTACTTTGGGGGCCTTTTCATTGTTTTCCAACTCTGGGATCTGGTCACGCAGGGCAAAAAAGCTTCGTTTCAGCTCGTTTCTCCTTTGGCGTTCCAAGACGTTGTGTGTCCGCCTCTTGTCATTCTCCTCTGTGTCCGAGGACCTGGGACTGGCACATTTTCGGTTGTTGCTTATCTGTTTCAGGACTCTGCCACTGTCCAACTTAGCTCTCTTGGCAGCCGGATAGTCCTTCCTAGTGGAGGGGGGTGCTGCATAATTGTGCTGATGGGTGGAGACGTGGCACCTCTTGAGGACCAGTGGGCTGTGAGGAGGTTTGCTGTGGCCTCCAGCAGAAGGTGACCCCGATTCTGACCTTTTGGGAGGGGGCTGCCTCTTTTCCACAGAAACGACATCAATTTCTTCCTCATCCTCTTGTTCTTCCTCTTTAAGAAAGGACATAGAAATCACTTGATTAGCAATGTTTCCTTAAAACAATCAATGACCAGATTAATTAATACTATGCAAAAGTAAGGCATGGGACTCTGGACAAAGTTACCCCCTAAAAGAACCAAACCTAGCCAACTATCCCATCTCTTCTTCCCATAAAGGCAGAGTCTCATAAAAGGAGAATGACAGCTGGGGTTATGGCACAGACAAGAAAATTACAATTTACCAGGATATGACATTGATGCCAATTCTTACCTAAGACTTAATGAGGCTTTGGACACACCCAAAGCAAAGCATATTCCCAAGCACCTCCTATTTTTAAGGGACTTTACCAAGAACCCATTAGGTGTTGTGAATAATAGCTGCAGATCTTTTGGTATGACTTTAGAGACTCCCTATTTTACTGGAAATACAATAAGAAAAAAAAAAAATCTTGCACCTTTGCCAAAAGCCCTGGAAGGCGGGGAAGGGGGAGAAAAAGCCCAATTTTGACAAGAATTTGCTTTTAAGTGCTCAAAATGGGCTGAAAAACTCCCAGCTCCACAGCCCATCCACTCTTGGGCACTTTCACTGCTCCTGGCACTCAGGTAGAAGACCGCCCTGCTTCTGTCCGCAGCCCTCCTCATTTCTGTAGATGCCTAACCCATTAAATTCCCATCACTTCGTGGAAGTTAAGGAAGAGGGAGGCAATTCATTCTCTCTCCTAGAGATCAATCCTCTCTTATCCTCATTCACCTCCCCCCTCCCCTCAGGGCAATTAAAATGCTTAAAAGAGGTAAAAAGGAGTGGATTGAGTTGCAAGATAAGCCAGAAGATTTAAAAATCCCAATGAAATTCCTGAGGGGTGGGAGGGAAGGGAGGGGGTGGCAACTAGAGCAGTCTAAGGGGAAGGGATGGGAGTGAACTCTAAAGCCCAGGGTTCCAGAAATGATAAGCTCCCAGATCCTTCCAGGGCCGCCATTTCTCCTTCCAAATATAAGAAAAGAGAAAGGCAGGGTTGATTGAAGTGGCCAATTGAATCAGCCGTCCATGAGAACAGGAAAGATACCCGGCCGCCCCGTTTTGACAGGCCTGCAGGGGCCCAGCTTACCAGAGTCGCTGCTGGTGGTGGGTGGTGTCTCCTCGTGGAGTGTCAGGGGCTCGGGGCTGGCCTGCGGAGAGGATTCGGTCGAGGACAGCAGAGAGTCCGAGGACGGGGAGAAGGCGGCAGAGTCGGGTGAGGCGCAGGGCTTGGGCGAGCTGCTGTCGTTGAGCGGGTAGGGGAAGACCACCGAGGGGTCGATGCACTCGGAGGCGGCGGCGCTCAGGTCCTGCAGGTACAGGCTGGAGGTGGAGCAGCCGCCGTGCCCGCGCGCGGGGCTCGGGCTGCTGCTGTCTTTGCGCGCAGCTTGGTAGGAGGCCAGCTTCTCTGAGACCAGCTTGGCAGCGGCCGAGAACCCGCTCCACATACAGTCTTGGATGATGATGTTTTTAATGAAGGTCTCGTCGTCCGGGTCGCAGATGAAGCTCTGGTTCACCATGTCTCCTCCCAGCAGCTCGGTCACCATCTCCAGCTGGTCGGCCGTGGAGAAGCTGCCGCCGCCGCCGTCATCATCTCCCCTGGGGGAGAAGGACGCGACAGCAACGTAGGAGGGCGAGCAGAGCCCGGAGCGACGGCTTGGGGACAGGGGCGGGGTGGGCAGCAGCTCGAATTTCTTCCAGATATCCTCGCTGGGCGCCGGCGGCTGCAGCTCGCTCTGCTGCTGCTGCTGGTAGAAGTTTTCCTCCTCGTCGCAGTAGAAATAAGGCTGCACCGAGTCGTAGTCTAGGTCATAGTTTCTGTTGGCGAAACTGACGTTGAGGGGCATCGTCGCGGCAGCCTGCTAAAGGGGGCACACAAAGGGGGCGCAGTCTTGAGTCACCGGGTTCTTGTTGCCAAAACCCAGCGCAGCGCAGCGCGCACTGCAGTACCGAACCACTCCCCTTCCAGCGCATCCAGCGCAATTCCCAAAAGGGGCTGGGTGGGGTGGGGGTGGAGGTACAAAAAAAGACACCCTTTCACTCTCTTCAGGCGACCCCCCGGTATCTCGGACACTCACTTGGTGACCCCGCGGCGGAGAGCTCGCCGAGCCCCGCCCCCCGGGAGCCCGCAGCGCGAAGCCCGGGAGTGAGCCCCGCGGCCGGCGCCGCCGCCGAGGAATCGCAATCGGCCTAGTCCTCCTTCAGAGGCCGCGGGAGGCGG